AACACATATTGAGGTGGTCTTATTTGCCTCCCATATGTCTCTCCAGTCTGTGCCCTCCAGGACCTCTCCCAGATCTGATTCCCACTGGGTCGTGTAATGTGGAGCCCCCAAGTCAGTGTTATTGGAGCTAAGGTGTGCATAAAGTGACAAAATTAGCCCTTTCGGGGGGTTTTCTTTTAGGCACATTTTCTAGAAGCCCGTGGGTGTAGTTTGTGCTGCAGTTTTTGCTAGGTTGTGTTGTGCAAAATCCCTGATCTGGAAGTATCGAAAGAAGTTTGAGGGTGTTAGCCTGGTCTTTGCTGCCAGGGCTTCAAATGTTAGTAGCTTGTCGCCCTCGTACAGGTGGATCGCCCGCTGTAGGCCCGCCCTCTCTATATTCTTAAAGTCTCTGGCGCGCATTCCTGGTGGGAAAGCCCTGTTTCTCAGGACCGGCATCATGGGGGAGGGTGAGGTAGTCAGTTTGTATTTTAGACCTGTGGCGTCCCAAACCCATATGGAATTTAGGATTGCGGGGCATTGGGTGCGTAATAGGGCCCTTTGTTCTTTCTGTAGCCAGATATAAAATTGGGGTAGGTCTGCTCCCATGATGCCGGCCTCTAGGTCTGCCCATCGTCGGTCTCCTGGTGCTGAGTGCCACATGGCAATTTGGGCTATCTGGGCCGCGAGATAGTAGTTGTGGAGATGGGGCAGGCCCAACCCTCCCCCATCCTTGGGTCTATATAAAACATTCCGGGAAACCCTATGCCGTTTGCGCTGCCATATGAAGTCTCCTATAGTCTTTTGTAGGGGGGCCAGGTCAGATTTTGAAACAGGGATGGGTAATGCCTGGAAGAGGAAGAGGAGTCTTGGGAGTATGTTCATCTTTATCGTGTGGACCCTTCCTATCCACGACAGAGGTTTGTCCACCCATTTGTCTAAGTCCATGGTGAGAGTTCTGAGGAGGGGAGTGTAGTTGGCTCTGTATAGGTGTGTGGGGTTTGGGGATGAGCTGTATCCCCAAATATTTTATAGCAGTGTTCGCTATGGGTATGCGGTGGTGTTCTCTTATGTATGTCACGTCTGTGGGTGTGACGGCTATTGGGAGCGCTGTGGATTTGGCCAGGTTTACCTTGTAACCTGAGAGTTTGCCATATTCTGTCAGTTCTTGGGTTAAGGTTCCCATTGAGTCTCTCGGGTTTGTGAGGGTGATGAGTACGTCATCGGCGTATCCAGAGACCTTGTAAGTTTGGCCGCCAACCTCTATTAGCCTGATTTGCGCGGATTGCTTGTAACAGGGGTTCTAGTGTGAGCACAAAAAGGAGGGGGGAGAGCGGGCACCCCTGTCGTGTACCATTGTGTAATTGGAAGGGAGCTGTCTGTGCTCCCGGGATGCGGACATACGCTTTGACGTCTGTGTACATGACTTGGACTGTCATGATGTATGTCTCAGGGAATCCGAGGTGTCTCAAGAGCTCAAACAGGTACTTCCAGTTCACCCTGTCAAATGCCTTTTCGGCGTCTAGTGAGAGCATCAGGGATGGGGTGTGTGTGGTGTCTGTGTCCATATGAGGTCTATGTTGCGTCGGGTATTTTCGAATAATTGTCATCTGGGGATAAATCCTACCTGGTCTGCATGTATGAGGTGTGTCAGTTGCGGGGACAGTCTTTCCGCTAGGATCTTTGCTAGAAATTTGACGTTGTGGTTTATTAGTGATATAGGTCTGTAGTGGTCTGGGTAGGTTGTGTCTTTTCCCGGTTTTGGAATCAGTACTATGTGGGCTGTGGACATTTCTGGATCAGGGAGCCCGCCCTGCCTCAGGTGGTTACACCACTCTGCTAGGTGGGGTAGTAATTCCTCCCGGTATGTTTTATAATAGCTCCCCTCAAAGCCGTCGGGGCCTGGGGCCTTGTGCCCCTTTAGTTGGGAAATCGCCTTGTTAATTTAGTCTACTGAAATTTCTTCCCCTAGGGTTGCTATAGCTGGCTGGTTCAATTTTGGAAGGTTCAATCTGTTGAGGTACTGCTGTATGGCTTCCGCCAGGTCAATTCAGTCGGTGGTATCCGTAGGGGTTTGGTTGTATAAGGCCCTGTAGAAGTCCGTGAAAATTTGTGCTATGTCTGTTGGTGATGTTTTGGGTTGGCCATTGTGGTCCCTAATTGTGGTGATATGCGTTTTCCTAGGTCGTGGGCGAAGTGTGCGGGCCAGGAGTGAGTGCATCTTGTTGGCTTGTTCATAGAATGTTCTCCTGGACCACGTCATAGCCCTAGCTACGTCGTCCAGTAGCGTCTCCTTGAGTCGGCGCTGGGTGGTTTGTAGGGCCTGCAGTCCGTCAGGTGTAGGGTTCGTTTTGTGTCGCTGTTCTTGTGTGTGGAGGACTAGAAGGAGGGATTTGAGTTGTTGTGTTTTTTGTTTCTTTTTGCGGGTGGCTTCCCTGATGAGGGCCCCTCTGATTACCGTTTTGGGTGCGGCCCAAACGGTTGCGGGTGTCAAGTCTTGGGTTGAGTTAAGCTGGAAGTATTCATCTATCTCTTTGCGGATGGTCTCTTTGATGTCTGGGTCTTGTAGTAGGGAGGTGTTTAGTTTCCAGGTCCATGGGGTCGTGGTGCAAAGGCCATCTAGTTCTAAACTTACGTCTGCATGGTCTGACCAGGTAATTGAGCCCACTGAGGAGTTTGTGATTTTAGGAATGGCCTGGTCGTTTACTAAGAAAAGGTCGATTCGGGAGTATGAGTCGTGGGGTGCAGAGTAGAACGTGTAATCTACTTCGCTGGGGTGTTGGGCCCTCCATCGCTGGGGTGTTGGGCCCTCCACATGAACATTTTTTTATATATATTTTGTGATTTTTATACTTTTCACATATATTTTTATGTTGAATAAACTGGACTGTTTTTGCTAACTGATTCAGTGTTACGTTGCTTCAGCTCATTTCTATACTAAGTATCTAAGTATCTAAGCTTACAGTTCTATATACTGTAACGCTTGACAATTTGATTTTGCTACTTTTTATTTCTTGTGGTCTTTGTCAATACAAAGTATATTAATCTGAAAGAGATACAATCTACCCCTCATTTCTGTTGGGGATTGAGGTACCTGAGTTGCACATTTGCCGTCAAGGAATTTGTTTTTGCGGTTTATCTGTATTTCCATTTTTTACCTTTGTGGTCACTTTTATCTATATTTTTATTTCCATCTCCATTTTCATTTATATCTATTTGAAGTTGTCAAGGTCTCTTTATCTTTCACCTATAATACAACCTTATTTCTCACTTTTCTTCACATTCTTTGTATTATCCATCACTACACTTTAAAGGTACAGTACACATTATTTTCTTGCTTTTGCATTTTTTTCTTCCTTTTACTTCATTTATTGGATTTCTATTCTTCATTGTCCCATATTTTATTCACTTTTTTCTCACTATCCTTTTTGTATTTTCCACTTTTCACTGTTTTAATACCTATTAGGTTTTATCACACATTCGGCCATCAGTCACTAGCCAGCTCCGGAAGTCCATTCACTTTATTTTTAAGGTGATTTTATATCCCTTTTAGTTGTGTCACAATGATGTATGTCCGTTTAGTGGATTTTTTGCCATTTTTGGTGGCTGAAGAAAGAAAGATTTAAGAAGAAATAAAACATCAGGACTTTAGTTCATTGTCCCCCACCCAGGGAGTGAGGGGGTAGGCAAGACTTTTTATTATGGAAATGGGTAGCCAAGTGGGGGAGAGAACCTTGACTAAATCATGGCATGTTCGCCCCCCTTCTATATTTAGTCAATCACTTCCACCCTCCAGCAATTAGTGGAGACCCTCAAGAACGAATTAGCACCTCCCTTTCCCCCGTCCCCAGTATATAAAGTCAAATATACCTGCCACCTACTCCTGATTTTATTTAATTAATTTCCTCTACTGTGGGGGTAGGGAGGGCCACTTGCTTTTTTATCTGTCCACCCCACCCCCCCATCATTTCATTTATAGCCCCCACCCAATTCCCACGGGTTGGGGCACAGCGGGCACCTGTGCCAAGTGTGTTATTAACACATTGAGCACTGCACATAGCTCGTCTGGGCAGAGCTGACATTACCATGTGGTGGCTCAGGCAGCCTGGAGGCTCAATGTCTGGGTCACCAGCTGGTTGGAGCGCACAGTATTTGCATTTTGCTGCTCACTCTATGCCAGCGTTTCCCAATTGGTGTTTCGCAGAACCCTGGGGTTCCACGGAACACCAATTGGGGTTCCCCCAAAAGTTTAAAAAACAAAATGGCCGCGGGCGGTGAGGGAGCAGTGATCTCCCTGCACAGCTCCCTCGTGCGCACAGCAGTGATGCTGGAGCCGGAATATGACGTCACTCTCCGGCATCCCTAGGAGGCGCGCAAGGGAGCTGAGCAGGGAGATCACCGAATTTCGGAAGTGCTGAAGTGCTTCAGATTTCTGAAAAATGGCAAAACAAGAGAGGGTTGGGGTTAGGGATTGGGGATGGGGTAGGGTTAGGGTAGAGTTAGTGGTTGGGGTAGAGGTAGGGTTAGGGGTAGGTTTAGGGTTAGGGGTAAGGTTAGGGGTAGTGTTAAGGGTTGGGGTAGGGTTAGTGGTTGGGGTAGAGGCAGTGGCGTACATACCAGGGTCGCAGGGGTCGCGGCTGCGAACGGGCCTGGCCCACCAGGGGGCCCGGCCGCCCCTGCGACCCGGTATGTAGCCACAGGGCCAGCCTCTTCCCCTGGGGGGCCCAGGAGCCGGCCACCCCAGGGCCCCCCGAGGCTGGCCCTGCTGACCCCGGATGGC